ACACCGGACAGGGCCCGTACTGGGTTTCGGATTCCAGAGTCATGAGCCAAGAGGGTGTCTGCCAGAGCGGGCACCAGGCTCGGTGAGGCCGAGAGATGTCCCGCCAGCTTCAGAGCACTCCAAACCTATCTCACGTCACATGCAAATTTGCTCTACCATGCGCATTTGGTTGTTTGCCTTTTGGAAACTCTGCCATAATCATGCAAGTTCTCAAGCGGCTGCTTGAAATGGGCTGCGGGGTCAGCATGGTGTCAATGGTTTAAGCAAGCAGGGAAGGCCTACTTTTTCTAGTCCCTGTCCTCCCAGCACTTGGGACATGCGCAATTTCGGGGAACTGCTTTGACCACCACCAAAGGACTGTGATCCAAACGCAGGGAGAGCTGAGACTTTGGACGCGCACCACACACAGCCACCCCAGAAGGTGCTGAGGTTGTCGTACAGCTGGAAGGTTGGGACCTTTGAGGCTTCAAACGGCATTACTGAATGAATGCCGGCAGCAGGCAAAATACAGGTGGCTAAGGGATCGAACCCTCGCTAATTTTGCGGCTCTGCATTGTCTGGATGCCAGAACAACATTGACGTACCAGAAGGCAAGCCCTCATTCACGCCCGCCTTGCCCTTCAGGAATATCCGGTCTTTCGGCAGGGCCTGTCTTCGCAAACAGTAGGTTAGGGATTATGCGGGCGTTGGCCTGAAAGGACTCTCCTATGTACCCAGCTCAGCCCTTGTAGGCATTCTTGCTGTAAAGATAAGCCACATTGAGCTTTCAAGGGGACTTTTCGAGAATGTGAGCCTACAAAGCAAAGCTGGTATGCAAGGTTCTCCGCCAAGCCCCAACCCATGCCAGCTGGTCAATTAACAGCTAGCTGAGAGGAACAGCTGCAGCCATGATTACAAAAACTGCTTCATTCTCATGACGAGGAGGATCAAGCAAAAAGCTCTGAAACTCGAACTGCGGTTGTGGCAGCCGTCACTGCAACGACAAGAAGCTGTGACTGCGGCACTAATGATGCGCCAGCAGGGTGGCATGCGCAGCGCCAGGAAGAAAAGTAGTCCTGTGGAAGCCGCCGGAGCCGGCAGAGCAACTGCCGTGTCATCGCAACACTACTCCTTCTGAATGCAGCTTCACAGAAGCATCAAGCACAACAGACAAATTTCTGTCACACAGCCATCTTCTGTCCTAAAACATCACCGGCGAGTGCGCATATGCAAGCTTGGCGCGGCTGCAAATTCTTCAAGTGTACCTCGCGGGATACTCATGGATTGTGCTTTCCGAGCATCGAATCCTGCATGGACACTGCCATGAAACCAATCCTGCTAGTCATGATGGTCTCGGCCAGGGTAATAGCTCCAGATTACTTTCCCAGGGTTGCCCATAGCGAGGACAACAAGAAGACTTTGGTAGGCCTGGATCACGACATTGCCACTACCATGGCACGAGGCAGAACCAGTACCCGCAACGCCAAGATGAGCTGCTTGGCTTGGGAAGGCAGGCTACTTGTGTTGCAATCGTAAATCAAACCTTCAAGAAGATGACCATGATTCCATATCATATCTGCTCCCCATGAGGAGACTCTCTTTCCTGATGGTGGCGTCTTAAAGTTCGGCCTTCCACTGCATACCCGAAAAAACTGAAGAAGGGAGCTCCCTGATCCCGCGAGCGCATCGTGCCGTACGCATGCTTGCCTGCGCCACGGTCACTGGAAGCAGGACTATGGCCAGGCAAACCGAGGCCAGGAGCCTGCTGTCAGATCATAGGGTTATACTGGCATCATAGGAGCTATAATCTAAGCTTCCAGTATCCCCCTCAGTAAGCCCTACAATAGTCTCCCATCTACTCCCCTGCAAACCCCCTTTAAGGAGTCTAGACTATGGTGAATATCGGGGCGAGGAAGTGGAGAATCAAATAGAAAAGAACATGGAGAAAACAAACGGAAAACGTGTGGTTATATAGCCCTTCTTGACGTCGCTTCAAGAAGCTAGACCACAGGCCTCAAAGGCAATGTGCCTTTGAGAGGTGCGGCCGTTAAGGTCCTATGGCTTTGTGGGTTACTTCAGGTGAGCGGTGGCCTAAACCCTTTGAACCTTTTGTTAAAGTAGTGTTGCGCTATCGCCTGCGCCTGTCGCGGACTGACGCGGCCCCAGGAATAGCTGACGCGGATGCATCTCTGCATTCTACTGACGCGATCACTGTCGCGAGCTATCGCGCACACCATGAAAGCTGACGCGGCCAATCTATACTTTAACACTTATATAGATTTCCACATGGGGGGTTTTGGCCGCCGCTCAGGTGCCCTTTTGATAGACCTAGGAACTTCTCAACATCATCATCCTCTTCCCTAAAGCCGCAAGCGAACTTGTGACAGGGGCCATCAAGCCCAGGATTTTGAGCCACTTTCTTAACCCCTTAAATCCTTCTGCAACCCTGTAGGTAATAACCCTGCTGCATAACCCCTTACGGAGTACAAAAGGCAGTCTGCCTTTGCGCCACTGGCCGCTTCCGGAAAACTATCTCCAGGAGCCCCCAGCACCAGTAGAAGTGAGCCTAAGCGGCTGAATATAAATAGAAGTATTCCGAGTTATCTAGGGATTGCATAGGGATTTAGAGTTCTAGATGGCCACATAGATTTATGTAACTTGTGTATGTGAGTCTTACATTATGCAGCTGCTGCCATGCTCCATCAGGATTCCTGTGTTCCTTCTCCTTGAGAGCACCGGTTGCTCCAACCTTCCTTCGCACCGCTCTCAGCCAGTTTGAGGGCCACGCTGCGGTGACCATGGCTTCCGGGATCAGCCCCAGTGTATGGCCGTGTGCCGGAGCGGCCTGTTTGTTACCCACACTTGATTTGACCAACACACCAGGAAACCTTCAGCATCCTTCAGCCATACCTCACAGCCGAAGCCAAACGAAGAGTGATGGATTCAATTTCTCCACAGCATTTGATCTTGCTCAGGACACGACTATTGCGCCCGGGACAAGCCACCAGGAAGCCTGAGTGCGAAGGCTCGACTGCTGGGGAAGAGCCACCGAGTTCAGCTGCACTGCATCACGCAAAGGATGTCACAAGCATGAGATATGACCAGGCCTGAAGCATGGCAGCAGCAGGCCGAACCACCAGCCAAAAAGCGCATGCTGCAGCAGCCTGTGATCAGTTGGGAGAAGTTTGACCCTGAGTGACATCAACAAGGAGCGGCCTCTATCAATCCGCGATTTACCAGGAACGGGAGCCTACAAGATGAAACAACGGAAAAAGAGCGCAGCGCGACTGTGCTGGCACGCAGCCAAATTCGACAAACAAGGAGGCAGCGCCCGACCGCCACTACTGACGGCAGGAGCGCATAGGCGTTCACCTGTGTTGCAAGAAGATTCTACCATCAGCGAAGCACAAATGGCAGCTGTGCTTTCGGACTCATCATCCTATCCCTCAAGTCCTGCAATGCTGGGACCAAGTGGCTGCTGGTCTCAGCTGTGATGAAGGGACCTTGGCTTTCCGTGGTTTCCTAACATGCCTTTCATTCAAGCCATTGGATGCAACAATGCTGTGCACAAATCCTTAGGCGTTCACCCGAAAGTTCTGAACAGCGCTTTCAGCGAGCTGCATCCAGTCCCTGAAGGTCTCATTCCGGCTGGCCTGACAAAAGGATGCCTGGATTTCGAAAGTCTCTGTTGGGGTTACGGCAGCCAGTAAGCAACGTCTGAAGGCTGCGTTGAAGCCGTGAAAGCTGTTGTGAGCTCCATAAGCAGCCTACTCCTGTAATTGTATCAAGGCCGTCTTCTGTGTAGTTGAGACATTGGTTTTCACACGTTTACCAGCAGCTTGGAAACGCCTCGACGAAGTGGCTCAGAGAGTCCACGTGCGGGAGCGCCTGTTGGGCTTGCGGTGGCTTAGTTTGGGTCTGCGGTATCTTTGGGTTTGGCGAAGACGCGGAGATAGCATCTCTATGGCTCAGTTCTGGATATCGGGCATGCGGATTGGTTCCCAAAGCATCATCCAACACCTGAACAAAGATCATGGAGAACAAGCCGTCAGCAGCGCTGGCAACTATCACAAGAGAACAGTAAGCCGTGACATATGAGACGAGACCACACCGTCGGGCAAAAGACCATGTCAACTGCATAGACTTCTATCGATACTCTTGCGGCTCGTCAACTACACAGCCTACATACATTGCCGAACCTGAAATGATGATGAACCGTTGGCTGCCAGAGTATCTTTCCAATCAACTCTTTGGTGCATGCTAGTTTCCAAGCCAAAGCTACCAAGCTGGCCTGCTGCACCAGGGTTTTTGCTCCCCGCTTTTGAAGTAGCTCTAGTGCCTGCGAGGTTCAGGCAGGCAAGCGCGGGAAGCACCAAACTTGATACCAACGAAGCCTGAACCTTTGCTTCTAGCTTCACAGTTCAGCTAAGTAAAGTTCGGCTTATAGCCTGGCTACAATCACCCTGACTGAGATCTAACGAAGAAAGGTTTGTCTACTTCCGCATAACCCATCCCAGAAAAAGGCTCTGCACAGAGCATTTTGCGCGGAGCATTTTCCCACTTCCAACATGCTCCAGCCACAGTCTGATCGACCAGACCTCTTGAAAAACATGAAGGCGTTCGCGCCTGCCACTAGCCTGCTCTTTTGCTGATGGCATGTCGGCACAATTGTTGCCAAATGGAAACCTACACCAGGATCGATTGTGACATATTAGTTAAGGATCAGGATGCAAGGCAAGCGGCAGAAACGTCTGCATTAAGTCCATCTCAGAATCTGCCGCCATGCGAGCTGCAAATGGCCTTGGCTGGAAGAACTGCGACTGAAGCTAACCCTCAGGAGCTGCAAGTGCCACCCAAGACAGACTCCCAGGTCCAAAATGAAGCTGCACCTTTTTTTTTTCACTCTCCGCGCAGCCTGTCCCAGGATCCTCTCCGGAGCCAAGGCTCATGAGGGCCTGACAAGCAACAGGGCGCATGGCAGCGCTTCTTTACCATTGTTGCTTGTGAGGCCTCAAAGATGCTTAGCCGAAGAGATCGAAGTCCATCTCCTCCTCCTCTTCCTCCTCTACCACGGCCTGAGCAGAGTATGGCCATGGCTTAAGAGAATTCCTTGACATACTGCAGCACGACATCTCTTACACTGCCGCCAACAACTTGCGACATTTGTGTTTTTTGCATCCCATGGGGTCCTTCTTCTCCTCCTTCTTGGCCTCTCCGCCGCCGCCGGCCGCGGCCGGTGCAGCGGCCACGGGGTTGGCTGCAGCGTAGGCCTCCGGGTCCGCCAGGAACGTCTTGACCTCCTCGACCTGGCAACATGTTCTTTTTTGGCTAGCTTCGAATAAGCCATAACACTGCAAGTAGTCGTCGTCGTCGTCGTCGTCGTCGTCGTCGCCGCCGCCGCCGCCGCCGCCTCGTCGTCGTCGTCGTCGTCGTCGTCGTAGTAGTAGTAGTAGTAGTAGTCGTAGTAGTAGTAGTCGTAGTAGTAGTAGTTGTTGTAGTAGTAGTAGTTGTAGTAGTAGTAGTAGTAGCAGTAGTAGTAGTAGTAGTAGTAGTAGTGCTGCTGTTCTTTGGCCTCCTTGAAGGTGAAGTCGATGTCGGCGATGAGGGACGCAACATTTCGGAAGGCGTTGCCAAAGGCGTGGGGCAGTCCAGCCTCCGTGGGGATGCCGACCTCCAGGGCAAACCGTACCAGCAAAAAGCATAGAAACAATGATGACAGAATAACCCAAATAATAGAATTGATGACAATCAGCACCGACATCATGCTGCTAACAGTTCTGACCAAAGATGCGAGAATCTGGGAATCGTGGTCATCTTAACTTGCGCGGCTAATGGCAACACAAAATGACCATCAGAGAGGCATATTGATTTGTGGGGGAGGTCGGAACGAGTGACAGGCAGGCGTGAGATGCATTGCAATAAGTTGTGCGCAGGTTCGGTCCGTGAAACACGAGAACCTTATCAATACATGCAGCCAGTGGGCCAGGCATCACACAAACACACATCCATTTCCTGAATCTTACACCCTAAACGTTCCTCAAACCCTTCACATAAAGCAAATCCTGCTACTGCCAGGCGCGTCGACATGAGCCACAATTAACCATGCATATTGTATCCCGATGGCTTTACAGCACCTACCTTACATTCTGAGAATCATCCCGTCCGCCAACAGATTTGCTCATCAACCTAAAGTGCCCTCAAGGTGTCATCATATGTACACGCAGGTGATCATATATACATGGTGTACAGTACACTACACATGTGATCGCGTATACATGGTTTTGTATATGTACATACTGTACACATATTACGTGCGGATCTGGTGGTATAGCACAACCAACTAGAATTCAGAAACCGCTTCAGGCCTCGCGGCTGAAAGCTGCCATGTTTGCAACACCAGCGAGGAACCTAGCAAATAAGTGGGTCATCCCGAATGCATCCACAACAACAGAATAGTGAGGTCCTTTTTGTAGGAAAGGGACGCAGGCGTTCACAAGATCTTAGGACAGGGGTCAGGAATTCTCTTTGGGCAGATTTCCTGCACACACAGGATTTCGGATTCCGCGGGGGATGTCTCGGAAAGTCAGCGAAGCAAACATTCAGGATCCAGGTTTGGGGTCCAAGCTCAGCGTTCAGCGCTTGGGAGCGTTGGCTCACTGGGTCGAAACCAAATTGAGATCGTACCTGACATGTTCAGTCCTGCAAATTCACTTCTGTAATTCAACTCGCGATCCTAAACCCTGAATCCTTGACCATAGCAACCTTGGAGCAGTCTCTAGGGCCTTCCTCATAAGGCCTTCAGCCGATGCACTTCTTGCTGGGTTACTCAGTGAGAGCAGGAGTGTAACTAACCGCGGCAAGGGGCTTGGTGATCAACTGCGCTTCCGACATGTCCAAGACTGCTGCGCTGAAGACTGCAGCATCCTGGAAGACCTCCAGGACCTCAGAAAGAGGAGTCCTTACACAAAGAATGTTGGGTTGCATTGGCTCAACATGGTAGTTTTGACCTTAGTGAGTCCCGGTGACATTGCAGGCGATAACGCCAAAAGCCACTGCCAACAAGGAAGGATGAGATGGGACGTCTACTCAACCAAGAACAAGTCTGCAGCACCGCTCGCAACATCCCAAAGGTTGAGGATTCGAGTTGGGTTGGGTCTAGGTTCCTACAACGATACGGATAATGGTGTGAATACTACGGCGATCGTAGAGGAGGAGGAGTACCATGATGATGCCCGCCTCGATCTTGTACTCAAAGGGCTTGATGCCCAGCTTGCCAAGCAAGACTGCTCCACTTGCAGATACCTGAACTCAAGTGTCTGAGGGCTGTCACGTTTGCGGCTGAGGCCCTTTCGGATCGTGAGGTTTATGAGCTTGGGGGCCTTCACGCCTTGATCACATGCAAGGACCTGTACCGAATCCTTACCCTAGCCGCATGTACTAGAACCCGAGACCTTCAGCCGAGATAGCATCTGAAGATAATCTGCAGAACCAAGTCTCCCTCTCGCCCTGCGCCAAGATCTTGAAATCAGAGACCAGCTCGATCTGACCCTTGACAATCTTGGTACCGATGTTCAGGGCCTGAAGTCAGAGCTTGCGAAGCAGCTGGTAGGATCTTTAGGGCTTGCTCGCCCTGATGCTTCTGCGTGCATTCGTGCAGGGACGCAAGCTGGTATAAAACAGCCTTGCAAGGACATATCTTGACCTGCAGTTGCGGAAGTAATGGGGCAGGATCGGCTGGGGAATGACGGTAGCACCCCTGGACCTGGTGCAAGCATACGACAAGCAGCAACACCTTTGAGCCCATAAGACCAATGATCTACATCCAAGGCCTGGAAGAATGCCGTCTGGGAGGGGTCCATACCCGTCGGGCCGGAAGGGATGAACCAATCAACGATGGACGTCCTCAGCCGCTTGAGAGGCCTCCTAATGAGCCTTGAGGTGCTGTTCTAGAAGGAGAGAGAGAGAGAGAGAGAGCAGGCTTAGCACTTGTTTTGATTGCAATGAGGCCACAGTCTTTGGGAAAAAAAATGGCGACCTTTGGCATCTCGTGGTAAAAGCCCAGATTCCAATACCCTTCGCCCTACACTTGTGATGGCCAAGTGACTGGCCAGCTTTGGCAGCAGACTGGCGCGTGTGCTTAGCGAGGCACTCGCGGATGTCATCCAAAGTGCAGTTCCTCAGCACGAAAAGAGCAGCCAACATATGCGTAAAATCTGCAAGGTCCATTCAGAAGGACTTCGCGAGAAAGAAAGGCATGGAGCACTGTGCAAAGCGAGAAGCGTGGCAAAGATGAAGCCTCGGTTGCCATAGATGGCAGCACGCAGCTTGTCCAGGCCGGCCTGACGGCACCCGCAGCAATAGCCAAGCAAGCGAAGAGTGCCAACTCTGCCAAGTCAGTGAGCAGCCTCTGGGTGCTGCTCATGACCAATCTCCAGGGCTTTGCGGATCATGGTGTTCTTGCCTGTCAAATTGTGACAGGGCACAAGCCCAAATACGCCCCCGTTGATGGGCAGAATAATGACCATGGCGTTAAAATAACCCTGTGCCACACACGCGGAACCAGTCTCAAGCATACAGCGCACAGGTAAGCCGAGCCACCCATGAGGACGACTGCTCGGCCGCGGAGTTCGATGCGAATGTCCTGCATCTGCTTGGAGGCCACATGGTCGACACCTGGCAATCACCCCTCTGCTTGCCACCAGGGCAGTTGACCACCCTGAGCTTCGAACCGACAAGGAGGGCATTGGGGGAGTTGACGCAAAGGTCAATCAGCTTGTTGAAGTACCTGGCACAGCTTAAGCCACAGATGCTACAGTCTGCTTGAAGCCATGATGGCAATCACCGCAGTCGTGCTGGCCACAGAGACAGAAGCAGCAAGAGGAGGCGGAGGAGGAGGAGGAGTGACAATAGTAGCAGAACAGGTGTGATACTGTCCTATACTATTCATCACTATGAGCTTTCTGCTGGTCGGAACACTTAGTCTTCCTCGCGAGCTTCTCCTTGCTAGGCATCCTGCACAGCAGCACACATTATTGGTGAAATCCTCCCACCCTCGCAGTGGCCAAGCGCATGGCCTGTGTAAACTTCTGGGATCTGCTTCCGGAACGTGGGATCCAGGCTGGGGTCGAGCCGAAACCGCTGCAGGTTGCAAACTGTAACGCTGAGACGTTAGAGAATTCGCTGCTATGTAATCCTGAAACTGAACATCCACAGGCAGGGACAGGTGCGTAAGCATGCAAGCGGCACTCTTGGATGCCGACCGGCGTTCTGCAGCAGCACACTCACGCAGGCCACACCATGAGTCGCTGCAGATAAAGCCCGTGTCACCTATATCATGACCGGCCACAAACCTGATTCTGCTCGTCAGGGCTCCAGCCACATTCCTGCTCACACCATCTGTTGACATGATGGCTTTTCAAGTCTTGCAAGAGATTTCACAGGCTTTCGGAGCGACTGCAACTGAATGAGCATCTGTCTGGAGCCCAGGGAAACCTTTTTCACAGATTTGTTGGGACTTGGGTAACAGGTTGGCCTGTCAGGGATTTTGGAGGCCTGTGGAGTTCCGGGTGTAGCCTAGATCAGGCAGTCAGCACAGCCAAGCACTGCATGCAGGGTGCAAAGGCTGTTTTGCCAACCTACTTCCCAAGCGCCCACCGCGAGAGCCTTTCGAGCAGTTGGCGAGATCATTGCAGTAGTACCCCTGACTTCTTTGAAGGGCGCTAAGAAGATGTGAATGTCGTGCTCTGTTGGGCACAGACATGAAGCAGTCTGGGATCCCATAGATTTGTTGCGCTGCCACTATGTAGTATGAATCTGGGGGTGTTTTAGGGCCATCGCAACTTGCGGGCTCCAGATTCTGAAAGCCTATACTATCAGAACGGGAGCCATCGCCGGCAGAGGGGTACTGAGACGCGGTGATGATCATGAGAACACTGATCATGCTTCAAAACAAATAAACGGCCCCAACGGTTGCTGGCATACCAGACTGCTGGCAGCTACGTGCTTGCGCTGAAGCAAAGCTGGAAAACTTAGCTTGCTCAAAAGAGCCCGCGCCTAAACCATCCTAGACCGCATCTATCGTATCTGCGTCAACCTTGCAGTAGCCGCTTCCTCCTGCCATTTTGATTTGCTGGGCCGTTTTTTCACGCCATAAAGGGATGCCTGCATTCGACAAATTTCTCTTTGGCTTGCATCATCTCTTGGCGTCAGCGCGAACCTTACAGGAGTGATGCAACCTCCTGGTTCTCTGCACAGAAGGGATGCGCACGAGTCCAAACCCTAGGCCTCTTCAATCGCGGCGCGAGCCTTTCGGAGCTGAAGGAAGATTATGGAAAAGGATACCACAGGGCTCGGGCTTCTAGTTTGGGGGTTGCAGTTGGTCTGGTGGTCATAGCAGAACTAGGTCATTTTGCTGAGGGGGTTGAGGTGCGCAAAGTCAGCAAGAATGATGGCGTACATACTAATGCTAACATGATTGATTGATTGATTGATTGAGTGAGTGATTGGTTGCCTGTGGGTCACGCGGGCCCTTGCTTAGCAAGGCATCGACGGCTGCACCGACACGTGCAGAGCAGCCATGATAACATGTACAAACACACATCGGGGTACCCTCAGCAAGGAAGGCACCTACATCTACCTAGATCTACACATCTACGAGCTGAAGATCTGCATATGCGCGGAGGTGCCGACTAATGCCAACAAGCGAACCTGACTCCTTTACAGCAGGGATCGAAGGAGGTTTTTATTTCAAGGCTCATCACTGGCTCATCATTGTGAGCTCGAAGCCAATCTATATAGCTTATGTTCGCAATTTAGGGTCCAAAGCTGCTCCCATCAGCCAGGGCATCGAGAGCAAGATTTTCAAGATCTAAGCTCTCAGTAAACATGGTTTTGCACACCGTGCCCAACAGAGTCGATGTGTCTGAAAGCGGGAACCGATGCTTATAGCACAATGCAAACTTAACCCAGGATTCCCTTCAGCTGTCCTTCCGAAGCCACTCGACCCCGCAAAAGCTTCGAGGTATCCGTTTCCGCCTGCTCCAGAAATTCGAGCGGATCCTCTAGGTTCTCCTGAAGTCTCGCGTTTTGGGCTGAGAGCTTACGCTTGACCTCCAGCCATCGCAGGTGCTGTAAATTGCTGTCAAAGGGATGATAGCGAGGCAAGAAAAGGTGTGAAAGTGCAGAGAGTGGCCACAATGCTTGACATGGCCAGACAACACAAAGGGAAACCTGAACAGCCTGACAGTGTCTGGAGGCATCTCAAATATCGCAGGCTGTTACGGGTAAGCGGCGGAAAGAGGGGCTCGCTAAGAAGGCACCCAAGTAGCAGTGGCCTTTTCTTTGCTGATCAGCATCATGCTGCCGTCTTTCTAGAATGTTCCAATGATTACAAAAAATTAAAGCATGCAGTCTTTACGGTTAATGCAAAGCGGACAGTCTTTTTGACACGTGGGGAATTGTCAGTCCTGGCTTCCTGTATGCACCTGCAGGCCTGATTGCCGGAGCCGGGCTCAGCCGCCCCATCCTGCAATCCTGCCGACCTACTGCGACACGGCTTTAGGGACACCTGAAC